TTACTTTATATATTTATATTTTTTCACAGTAAATATAGCCGAGGGAAGTTATCTGGAATACTCCAAAACTGATAATAATACTCAAGTGCGTTATATAGTCGATGGAAACCCCAGCACGTGTGTTCGATTTATAGTGGTAATGCATTCATAAATATTATGCACATATTTATTATAAAATAACTGTTATAAATATCGGATTCTAATTGGTTGGGAACGCGTGCTTTACAAGAGCACACAGCACGCGCGCGCACTTTCAGTTGTGTCCTCGTAATCAAAATAACTGTTATCATAATCTGTTTTTTATAAAGGAAATAAAAAACTTGCTTGAGTGCTCGGTGGAGTTAAAAAACACTTGGGGATTTTCGCTACGCGTCGTCCTTCTCCTAACACTTCTCTCGTGTTCTACCATCCCCGCGTGCTTTATGACTGCACACACAACACGCAAGCGTTTCCTATTTATTTATCAGCATTCAGTCCTTCGATGAACTGGTTCAGGGCCGTGACGAAGGAAATCTTTTCCCGATTGATTTATTTTGAATTTTTACTCAGAAATTCGGCTGTGATAAAAAACCCTTCATGTAGTATATTTTTTGTCTGATATGACCACTTCTTCTTTTTCTTTCAAGGAACGTAACACATGGATTAAGGTCCAATTAGAGAGGAAAACGTATATTTACAAGGTCAAAATTATTGTTTCATCCAACAAGAACCAAAGTGAATCAACATTTGAAGTCCAAGTTGAAGCAAGCTTCCCGTACAGCAATAATAAAACTTGCTCTTGCCTTGGCTTCCGCTCTAAGGATATTTTCTACGATTGTAAGCCAGTGATACAGAGCTCAGCAGTTATCATCAAGTCTAACAGAGTTGGATCTACTCTCAGTATATGTGAGATACAAGTTTACGGGGCTGGTAAGTAGGTCTGAAAATAAAATACAATCTCCTTGAGACCTCTGTCTGCCTATAGACCCCTTGCGTGTGACGTCAAAAGCAGCAAATCTGGGGGGAAAACAAATTTCAATCTCATGAGAATTGGAAACCTATCGTTATGTTATCTAAACTGAGTTGCATTCCGACGTGCTGCAAGGGGTATATAGCCAACTTATCGAAAGAAACTATCCAGCACAGGAAGCCCACAACAAGTCTAACTTCTTACTTGTTAACTTGGAACCATTTCGTTTTGCGATCACTCGAGCGAATTCGGGAAAGGTTCGCACCAATCAAACGCAGTATAATTTCTAAGCCCGCTCCATCATGCGCTTGCGATCAAAGGGTCCAATGGCGGATACAGGGGGAGGACACAGGGCCGTGCCCATTAAGCCCCTTTTTAGCTTGGAATCAGTGGGTTTAAGCATCAAAAAGACTGCGCGTAAATTGCGAAAAAGGGAAATCTTCTTACATTTGTGAACCCTCTACTCAAAATAACAGATCCGTCCTTGGGGTCTATTTTACTAACGTAACGAATATATTGATTTATATCTTAATAAAGGCACTTCGACTGACCTTCAGGGAGTATTGCGGAATGTTTGGTTTCACGATTTTGAAACGAAATCACTCCGGGAGTACTTGAAAACAAAACTTCAAAGAGAATTCCCACATAACATGAGAATCATGAAGAATCTTCAAATGTCTTACGAACTCGGAGACAATTCAGTACAACTTCTCTCTGCTTATTTAACGGTAAGACCGAATACAAACGTCGAACTTCACATGAGCCGAACTTATTGACATAAAAAAAGATCGTCGTGTTAGCCATTGTTAAAATATTTCTATTTTTCGCTTTGCTATACTTAACTTACTACATTGTTCATTTGCATGTGCACGTTGTATTTAAAAGATTCTCATTTGCTTCATGGAATGTTTTTGTTAATTCACCCAACATGGCTGCCATGTCTTTCTCATTTGACTCTTGAAAATACTTGCAAACTATTCATTCTCTTCCCCACAGGTTTTCGAAAATGGCGAATACAATTTTTTAATCTCGTGTAATACCCAGTGCGAGATAACGCTTGGTGTTGCTGTTGAGCAGGTTTTTGAAGACGATTCACCTGAGAGTTTATTGTTAGACCTAAGATACCACACAAGCAGAATAGACTGGAACAGGTAAAGCAAATCTTACAAAGTACCAATATAATTGTACATCATTATCAATTTACAATGCGAATCGAAAAACTGTGGGCACCCAGAAATATACCAGGAATGTTCTATTTTCTTTGGTCAATCAGAAATGACTTTCTAACCAAAAGGAAACGGAACGATAACACTAACGCTCCTGATTGATTAAGAAGACATGCTTGAAATTTTTCTAGGTGCCCCGCACGGTTTTTCGATTAGCACTGTAAAGAACTCCACCTTACTTTTCAAAGATGCAGGCCCTCTTTCCATGATGGATTGATGATTGGAATTTGCAATTGTACGTTGAATTTTGCTAAGGAAGGAAAACGGCAGTATCAATGGAAAAAAACACTGGAGATAACCAAGAAGTAATTTTACTCACTGAGAGCAGAAATCAAACGCCTGACCACACCGAAAAATTAAGCAAAAACCCTGTGCATCGCTAACGAAGAATAGCCCAGATTTCTGAATCATAATATGACTATTACTAGAATAATCCAAAATGTCCGCACGCGGAGTTTTTTATTATCTTTTATATTGGTTGGTGTTTTTTTCTTACTAATTGACTAGTTAATTGTTAATCGTTCGTCATTTCAATCAATTTTTTTTAAAGGTACTACAAGAAACATCCTACTTCAATCAAATTATCTGTGTGTCGCATTTATCACATGAACACTTACGTCAAGCATAATTACGTCACTGTAGGACTTAAGTACCCGGATGGAAAACTCAGTGTTCCAGTTCCTAATAAACACTTGTATTGGACACAACCAGGTAACAATATTAAGTCACATGCCGGCAGCCATTATAGATGGCAGGACCACATAATTCCTTTTCTCTAGGGAATAGAACTGAAGCATGATGACGTGTTATACCAATACTTCCAGGACCCTAATTTTCACTATTGTCTCGGTATTCTCAAAGGTGTTTAACACTTGGATATGAAAAGATATCTTGAAAAGGACTGTGGTTGTTTAGGTATAAACGTCAATAGGGCTAGGGTCTATTGATTTCTTTTTCATGTAACTCAATTATTTTCGTTGCTGCTATTCAACATGGCTGGAACAGAATTAAAAATAGTTGTTTACTCTACTTTTTTTACTTTTCATGCTTTTTTTTCCTTTTTTTTTTTTTCCTTTCTTTTCCCCCCCTAGAAATATGAATCCCTTTTTTATTCATAGTTCTAGGGGAAATACATAACATACTACACACTGCGAATTCGTCCATGCAACGCATATCATCTACCATGGCAACCACTTGACTTTTTTCTCGGGATTAATGCGGACAACAAGAAACAACAGCTTTAAAAACAAATGCATCTTTACTTTTAGTAGTCATAACTTATTATTGGATTCCAACCAGCTCCTGTGGCTCAGTCGGTTAGCGCGTCGTACTTATAACCAGTATGGGCGCGTTGTCCTGTAACTGAATGAAATGCGAAGGTCGGGAGTTCGATCCTCCCCAGGAGCAGAATTTTTTAAATTTTCTGAGTATTTGACATTTGTTGTGAAGTGTAATCGTCTGGGTGAGTATAGTCTTGAGAAAGACTGTTGTTGGTGGTGACTAGCAGAAGTCATCTTCAGAGTCCAGTGAGAAAACGAGAGACAGTCGATGGTATATATAGTATTTGACCAGTCAGCAACTAATTTTTTGTTGCTGCTGTGGTTACTATAATCCTAAGGAAGTATGATAATCGTATTACGATAAACACCAAGGTGCCGTTTTGGGAAACAACAGTAAATGAACGATGACCTAAGAGATTTATTAAAACTGTGACTAAAAATAGATGAATAAAAAGGATGAAACTAAATCATGTTAATTTATTTATTTTGATCATATTGCATTTTTCTAGGAGAACGGTCGTTCCGATTTCAAATGTTGCCAAAAATAAACTTTGTAGAGGTGGGGAAAGAGCTTGTTCTTCAGGGTAAGTCGTTATTATTATTAATTATATCATCATCAATATTATTATCATCATTTATCATTATCGTCATCATGCATCATCATAATAACTTCTTTATACTGACAGATTTTTGAATGCTGTCTATTCGTATTTAGCTTCCTATAGGTACTGTTGCCATGGCATTCGGTGTCCAAACTGCTCCCTTAACGTCCACCTTCATGTCTTTAATTCATCCTCGTCAGTTCAGTCATCGATACTGATGGATTGCAAGGAGCATCCATGGTCAACTGCGATAAATGCTACTGTTCAACCTGGAAACCATAGCATTGAAGTAAGGCCATCATGAAATAATTTTACTTCATTCAGCATAGCTTGATCTTAGAACCTCAAAATAATGATAGGGCTTTTTTTGTAACCATTAAAATAATGAATCTGATTGTTGATAAACAATATTTCAACAGCTGATTTCAACATTATCTAGGGCTGTTGAGAATTGCACAGAGGTCACGTGAACCTACTCTACCCTACGAGAGCTTGCCGTACAACAAATCCCTCCATATAAATCCTTATCGAGAATAGTCAGTTTTATATTCAATGTCATTACTCACGCGTTTTACAAAATAAACAGAGATTTCGTCCTCTCATACTAATATTGATGTGCTATTTCTATTTCTGGCGTTCATTTTGACACTACTCCTTGTTTTAAGGGGGTATGGTTACGTGACTTCTTAGTTTAAAAAGTCACGATAGAGCATGTCCCTTTTACGTCATAACCACCATCTTGGTTGACGATAACAAAGCATTCCTCATTAGCTTATCTTGATATGTCAACCAACATGGCGGTTGTGTCATTGTTATTCATATCTCAAGGGATTTTGAGCCACATCCAACGACAAAAATTATAGCCTCACTCTTAAAAGCAAATGAGATTTTCTCTCTTGGTTTACTAACTTTTGTAAGTTTAATTTACTACAGGTTAGCTATCATTTTTTGCAAGACAAAGATTTGCCAACGATAAGACGTACAGTGGGATATGCCATTGTTAATGGTAAAGAAATTTATTTTATCATTGTTACAAGTTATCAGATTTTACTCATAGATTAAGTAATGTCGGCAACCTATGCATAGATAATTGATTTATCTACGAAATTGTATCGTTGCACATCAGTTAAATGAGAAACGGCATTCGTACTTTCTGATGGAATAGACCTCTTTACCTTCGTATACAAATTGGACATTTCACATCACGTGACATTCCCTTGAGAATCGTTCTTTTATGACAAACATTTAAAAGTATTTACAAATAAAAGAATCAACTCACAAGAGTGACATCGCACGGTCTGAAATGGGGCAATAAAAACAACGAAGAAAAAAGTCTATTCCTTCGGTTTTTGCCAAAATGCTTGCGTCCGCTCGGTCAAAGGCAGTCGCTACGTCACAGGTTGAGGACACCTCAATAAATTCTAGTCATAAAAGACCCGGCCCCTTGAAGCACTTCGGAATGCATCTCAATTTAGAGGGCAAAACAGTAGGTCATATCTTTTTAAATTCATCACATAGACAACACCATATTTGCCATACCAATATATTAACTTGTCGTTACGATGGAGAGTAGGTGCCTGGCAAAGCGGTAGGCGATGGCAACTAGCTGGCAAGAGGTAACCATGGCAACCAAGCCACGGGTCAACCTCCATTACTCCTCTCCAAGCATTTAGTGTGGTGCTTGGAGTTGGTCGACCCGTGGCAGGAGCCATGGGACTGACTAACACCCAAAACTGCATCTCCAAGCACCAACAGTCGCTGCCTCTCCAGTTGTCACGCATGCAGACACAACATCCATAGGTAGTGTGGTGTACGCGACTAAACCCAGGTGGCAATGGCTAGCATGAGGGCAAAATTGACAATGTACAAATGGTGGCCAAGCTAAAAGGAT